ACTCCATAACCTCCCATCGCTCCCCTGGCCCCCAGTCTCACTCTCCGGCCCCTGACACCCCCCACTCCCGCACAGCCTAAACATCCGGAAGAGCGACGTGCTGACGGTGCTGGACGGCGAGGACCTGACAGGCCGGGTGCTGGGGCAGTACATGGGTGCCCACCCCCGCTTCCGCCTCTACACCTCGGCCAGCGCCGCCACCCTGCAGTTCCAGTCGGACCCCAGCGACCCCCTCTTCGGCCTCAGCCAGGGCTTCCTCATCCGCTTCTCTGGTAGGGCCCGTGCGGGGGGGGGGGGGGTGAGCGAGGCAGCGGGGGGGTTCAGGTGGGAGGAGGCGGGGTTGGAGCTGAGAGGGGGAGGGGGTACTGAGGCAGCAGAGGGGAGGGATCACAGGGAGACACAAGGGGGTCAGATGGAGGGGGATGGGGGAATGGGGGGGCAGGGGGGAAAGGAGCGCTGGGGGGTTCTGAGGCAACAGGAGATGAGAGGTGGGGGGGTGAAGGGGGACCAGGCTGGAGGAGGGTGCGGGCCAGGGGGTGGCAGGAAGGGAACCCTGCCCCCCCTCACCTCTCCACCCCCAGAGGTGCCCCGGAACGACACATGCCCGGAGCTGCCAGAGGTGGAGTTTGGCTGGCGCACGGCCTCGCACGCAGCTGCCATCCGGGGCACGGTGCTCACCTACCAGTGCGAGCCGGGCTACGACATCGTGGGCTCCGACATCCTCACCTGCCAGTGGGACCTGGCCTGGAGCAACAGCCCCCCCACCTGCCAGAAGAGTGAGTGACCCCTGCCCTCCCCCGGGACCCTTAGCCCCATGGGCTGCCTTTGGATCCCATGCCTGCCACCAACAGCACAGCCAGGCATCCCACCCCCCCATGGGCCACCACTGCCACCAATGGCATGGCCAGGTATCCCTCTGTCCCTCCCATTCCTGTCTCCCATCTTCTCACCACGATCTACTTGCCGTCACCTCTCCGCCCATCCCCCGTTATCCGTTGGCTACTTAACAAGGTAGCCTGGTATCCCCACTGCTACTGCGGCACAATCAGAGATCCCATAGTACCACCAACAGAGTGGGCAGGTGTACCAGGTCCCCCGGCCACCACAGCCGGCCATCCCACTTCTGCCACCAGTAGCACAGCTGGGTATCCCGCCTTTGCCACCAGTCCTTAGGCTACCTCAGGCTGGGGCTCAGTGCCAAGGTGCCTGCCTTTTGCACCAAAAGGGGGAGTCCACTCCCGTTGCTGACACCCATCCTAAGGGTCACCCCGTCTGGGGAGACCCCATGCCGGGAGAGCAGGAGTGAGGGACCTGCCCGCTCAGAGCCAAGCTTCAAAGTTGGAATCTCACCACAGTGCCAAGAGAGTATCCCCTCCCTATGATGAGACCCCCCGGCCAGGGCCGGTGGAGTGAGGTATCCCACTTCAGCCACCAGTATTGAACAAATCCCCAGCTAGGGCTAGGGCTGGAGGCCAGGTTGTGAGTTCAAATCCCATCTCAGACACAGAAAAGGGGAGCATCCTTTCCTCCTGTAGGGGACCTTAGCCACAAAGTTCCAGGTTGGGTATCCTACATCTCACACTGTGATGGTGTTGTGGTCCCTGCCCATCCCAGGGGCGGGGTCACGGCTCCCACCACCCATCCCAGGGCCGGGGTCACGGCTCCCACCACCCATCCCAGGGGCGGGGTCACGGCTCCCACCCAGGGGCGGGCTCCCGCCGCCCATCCCAGGGGCGGGGTCACGGCTCCCGCCGCCCATCCCAGGGGCGGGGTCACGGCTCCCGCCACCCAGGCCAATGACAGACTCTTGCAATCCCACTGCTAACAGCAGTTTAGTGCTTCAGTCCAAAGTTGAGGTTGAGTCCTTGTCCTGACTTGGGGGAGCCCTAGTATGTGTCTGGGTGTCTCATACCCTGTTGCTCCCTCCCCCCGTTGTTCTCTCCCCACAGTCGTGAACTGCGCTGACCCGGGGGAGATCGGCAATGGGAAGCGAAGTGTCTCAGACCGACGCTTTTCCATTGGCTCCCATGTCCAGTACTTCTGCCACGAGGGCTACGTGGTGGAGGGGAGCAGCACCCTGACCTGCTACAACCGCGACACTGGAACCCCCAAATGGAGTGACCGCGTCCCCAAGTGTGTCTGTGAGTTCAGGGGGCTGCGGGGCGGGAGTGAGGGGCACTGGTGGGGCTGGGGGGCTGCAGGTCGAGATTTAGGGGCAGCGTCAAGGGCTCTGCTCTCTTGCAGTGAAGTATGAGCCGTGTCTGAACCCCGGCGTGCCCGAGAACGGCTACCAGACGCTCTACAAGCATCACTACCAGGCGGGCGAGTCACTGCGTTTCTTCTGCTACGAGGGATTTGAGCTCATCGGGGAGGTGACCATCACCTGCGTCCCGGGGCACCCATCCCAGTGGACCAGCCAGCCACCCCTCTGCAAAGGTACCGCCCCCCAGCTCTACGGTGCCCCTCACTCCCGATCCGCAGCCCCCTGCCAGCCCTGCGGTGCCCCTCGCAGCCCTGCGGTGCCCCTCACTCC